ATCACTCGCTCCGCCCACCTCGCCGCGCCATCGCGGCATAAAAACCCAACATGTCTTCGGCTGCGGCCTGGAAGACAAGTTAGTCACTCCGAAAGGCGAATGTTCGACACACGCCTCCTGGTCAGAAAGGCAAAGGAAACACGGACTGCCATGTGTTTCTATGTATGTATGTATGGCGACGCCCGGCGGCGGGGGTCCCGCGTGTGAAGGGGTTATAGGCATCACAGAATGGCCCGTGGAGCGGGGGGAGGGGGGCGCGACACCGCCGGGAAGAGCCGAACAAGACCAGCTGAACGGGCTCCAGTTGGTCGGCATGTTACGCGGTCCGGGAAATACAGGTCGACTCCTTTCACACTGTTGCGCGTGGAAACGGCGCATTTTAATGACTTACAAATAAGAGCCAGTCGGCGTAATTGCGTCACAACGAGGCGGACTCACTTCCATCTTCTCAAAATGGAGATCTCGCCGCTGCAAAATGGAGGCCGTGCCGCGCGAGCTGCAGACTGAGCTTGAACTTTGACCCCTGTTGTTGTACCCCCCCCTTCTACCGTGAATGAATTCCAGACCCGAGCCCCCCCCCTCTCTGTCATACCAAATCTGGGAGAGAAAAATCAAAATTTAATATAAATATATATTTATATATACAGAGAGATGATAAAGTCTCATTAGAGAGTCTTTATACAATTCTATCATATTCTATGGATACACAATATGTAAATCCACAAGCGGCTTTCATCCATATCAGGTGTTTATTTATTTTCATTTTGTTTTAAACTAGAATAAGGAAATAAATCCTGCGTAATAATACGTTAGTGAAATGACTGAAAACATAAGGGAAGGCTATTCATGCAACACACACACACACACACACACACACACACACACACACACACACACACACACACACACACACACACACACACACACATATATATATATTGCATATGTGAGAGCCTTTGCAAACAGCCTTGGAGCAGTCAGGGCCCTCAGCATTGCTCATGGTGGCGTCTTTATTAAACTTTGATTGGCCACGTCCCCCCTTAAGGAGGGTTTGGTGAACCAATGAGACGCAGTAGGTGAGGGGAGACGACCTTTCCCCTATAAATCTGGGCCAATCAGGGAGTGGTGGCAGCTATCATGGGGCTGTAATGCTTCTGCTGTGATGCCTCGTCTCACTTCTGCTACGCTGGCGTGCGTCCTCCTAGTTCTTCATGAGACGCTGCAGGACCTGAATGAAATGGGAGCGTTGTTGCAGAGCCCCGATGGCCCGAGGCGGATGCTGGCGCATGGCGGTTACAGCAGTGCACGCTAGTTACAAGTTGGGAAGCGTTGAATGTGTTACTCAGGCTTTTGTGTGTATTTGCTTACGTTTCCATAGTTGTGGAGAGAATTTCATATTTTCAACTCAAAAGCTAACACGTGTTTGCTAGCTACGGAAATGTAGTATTTGAAATATTTAATAATAATGACAGGACTTTTTTTTTTGTATGGGAATGAGCAACCGTCCTTACTTTTTATATCAAGTTGAAAAACACCAACTCTATTGGATCGGTGTTGTAAGAGAGACTTTGTGTCTTTTCACTCTGCACATCGCCTGCCACATGTCACACAAACACACACAAACCCTTACGAGTCTCCTCTCACAGCCGGGCCGCTCTCCTCCGCACGAGTCGGCCGCCGTCTCTCCAGGGAGCAACGTTAGGATGAGAGCGATGGGGCTCTACAGCGTGAGGTGTTCCTACCTATCCAGTCGGCTGTGGGGGGGGGCGCTGTGGAGATATTTGGTACCCTTGCGGTTCTCACCCGTAGCAATGAAAAATTAATTTGCAATTTTATGCTGACCAGGTAGCTCTTATGAAATATGAACTCCCCCCGCTGCACTTGGGACTGTTTCAGCCTTTATGGCAGCGTTTGTTGTGGGTTTGTGACGGCAGCTGCTGATGTCTACATGGTACACATCTGTACCATGTGTACAGATGTGTACCATGTGCCTTGCTAGTAGTAGTTATACATCCAGAGCAGAGCCATTTTATATCATCTTATTTTAACGACCTCTTAAAGGGACAGTTTTCCACACATGGCCGGTTCTTTCTTCTTTATAACGTTTTGGACAGAATTAGAAGGCTGTTGTCGCAGCAGGAACAGTTTTTGTGCGCTCGCTTTTGCTGTTTTTTCCCGCAGTGTCAGAGCGTCAGCATGTTTCGCTCATTTAAGTCCCCAAGGAGGAAAGAATGTGACATATTCGTAGCACGTGAAAGAAGCAGTCGACGCCTCCCATCCGGGTGGCGGGCGCTCTGATGGGAAAGGGATTAGTCCAACACGCTTCCTTTTGTCTTTTAATGGCGTTGCAAATTCCTACTGGGAGTGGTAAGATATCGCACATGCACGTCATCCCTCTAATTCCTGGTTTTATTTGATCCAACACTGGATGACAATATTTGTTTTGCATTACAAGGTTTTCTGAAATGTTTAAGTATACATATTGGGCATGAATGCAAACTTCAGTCCTCTCAAACCTCACCAGCACTGTCAAATATTCGCTTTAAAAAAACATATATTCGAATATATTCGAATATCTGGTTGCGCATTAGACACGTCAACAACAGGAAAAATTAATACAAGAAGACACAATTACTTGTATAGGTAATTTATTTAAGTTTAAACGTATCACCTACACAAAAATAAGTAAATGAACTGATGGATCTCTCTCTCTCTCTCTCTCTCTCTCTCTCTCTCTCTCTCTCTCGCAGTTTAAATGAACGACAACAATTAAACAAATGCTGAATATAGAATATTCGTTGACAGCCTTAACCTCACACAGGCGGATCCGACCAGATGTTCCAACCTTTCACAATAAAAGCCTGAGAACGTTTATCAGAGGGACCTCTGATTCAGTTGGACAGTAGAATTCATTGAAACCCTTTGTGCTGAAGGCGTTCTAAGCAGCCGTGCAACAATGTGCGTGTAGCTCTTAGCCCGGAGCTGTAATGAGCCATTAGCCCCTCGTCTTCGGCGTGGTAATGAGCGTGTGGTTGTATCCCTGCTAATCGATAAAAGTAGGACGGAGCTGAAGGTTTTGGCTATGAAAGTGTAAAGTGAAACACACCCACACACACAGACTGGCCTCGCTGTGGTCCCAGGGCCCCCTCAGTCTGGTCTGAGGCACTCTAACCCTCGGCCTTTGACCCCTCCTAGAGGCGACGGCTTTCTCCTCTTCTCCACCACCTCCTCCTCCATGAAGACCCTTTTCATTCTCTTGGCTTCTTCTTTGTTTTTCGCCGCTCCCTTTGTTTGACTGGAGGCCTGAAACTAGCATGGATTTAATCCATGCGAAGGAAACAGCAACAGCTTGTTTTTGTTCCATGTTTTTGAGCTTTGCTGACGTGGCGTTTCGCACCGCACTGGTCGGGGTTGTTGTGTCTAGATTTCCACATTTACTTCAAATGGAACGTGTTGACATTCACACTCCCTCGTGATTCTATTGAGCTTTGTTATTCTCTCCGGGCTACGCACCACTGAAGCATGGAAGCCGCTCGAGTGGTAGCTTAGCATTATCCCAGGTTGACAGATGGTGGCGGACCCGTCGACCACAGTGGTTAAAGGCAACGATGTTCAAAACCATGAAAACAAAAGAAAGACGACAGATGAGTGAAGGAGCGAGTAAGCAATGTGAAGCACGTTCTGTTGTCCATCCGCCCGCCCATTCATCATCTTCGTCAAACCATTCGTTATCGGTCTGCCTGCTTACATCCAATGGGAAAGGCTTCAGGTCCAGAAAGTTCAATGTTGGTAGCTTGGGGGGGGGGACGGAACGGGGGGGGTTGGTGAGGATAATGGGGGGTTGATCAGGTGGGACTTGTGTGTCGGGGTGGTGGCGGCTTGATGTGTTCTGTAAAAGTCCTCCAATGTGTAAAATATAGTTTGGTTGTGATTGGCAGGTTGTGGATTGGAGGTAGTGAGGATAGAAAAGCATTGATCGGCGATCACAGGGTCTCTGGGGGGGGGGATGGGGGACATCAGGTATTGTGGATGCACAAAAACCCTATTCATCTGTGCCGGAGCGCCTCCTTGGGGGGTTTGGTTTTAGCATGGGAGATGGGGGGGTTGCGTGCTGTTGGCCCGTTGATGCTCAGCTGGGTGGGGTGCGGGGTCATATGAAGGGTGGGTAAAGATGGAGGGAGGGCCGCAGTAATGCCAGTGGGGAAAAGGGGGAGGGGGGGCAGCAAAGGGTCAAAGGTGCAGCACTGACGTAACAGATGGAAGAAATGGCCCCGTGTGGCGACGCTGTTTGTGACAAAGTTCATTTTATTTTGTATAGCCTGAAATTACAAATTTGCCTCAGACAGCTTTACAGTGTGTGTACATGGAACATCCTCTGTCCCGTTAATGTGGCCATGGGATCTGGGTTCAGGCAGGTGGCGGTGCAGATGTGTGCGTGTGATGAAAGCTACTCTTTGGAGAATGAAGAAGTCTGCCTCTAGTAGCGCTCGGGACCCCAAGTTGAGTTTCAGTGACTCTTACATTCACAGTTGATTTTCTAATCAACATACTGCATGCTCAAACCTCTGAAGCCCCCCATTGGGCTTGTGGACCCCCTGTCGAAGGACCCCTTGACTTGCAGAGGTTAAGGCCCAAACTGAAAGCCCACGTTTCTGATCGGAAGAGTCTCACACAGACACACCTCCTTCGACCCGCAGGAAGATGGTTGGAAGATTTAAAAACAAAAAGGGAGTCTGTGTCTGCTTGATGGCCGGGAGACAATATAACGTGGATGTTACCTTCCATTAGCAGTGTAAACGGCTGCGTGGGGACATCGTGTAAGTCCATCAGCTGGAGGTCACACAGCCCCCCGTCGTTTGTTTCAACGGTCACTGTGGCTTCACACCTCGTGATACCTGGGGACGAGTGATCAAGGACGACCTGCCCTCCCCCTCCTGAGATATCCCAAAGTGACTTTTAAAGGTGTTTAAAGTGTAACCGTCTCCGCCTTCTCTCCACAGGACCAGGAAACTGCAGATCAGAAACATTCCACCTCACCTGCAGTGGGAGGTCAGTTCCTATTTCCTCTTTTTTGTTTCTTTGGATCATGACTGGTCGTTTTCTGTGAAGCATCCGGTTCCACCCAGGTCTGGTTTGCACAGGGGTCTGTCATCAAACAGATTTCATTCTACATGTGTCATTTCAGACCTCCAAACCCAAATAAACTGTTGACATCAAACTCATTTAAATAACGTTGTCTCTAAGCTCCTAAGAAGCCACAATTCACTGAGCTGAGACCAAAAGTCACGTGACTGCAGAGCTCCAAGGGTTGGAATCTGAACGAATTCCTACTTTTGTTTCACTTTCTCTGCCAGTTTATTACTATTTTGTGGACATTTCTTTTCATAGCCCAGATGACCCTTTTTACTAAGTATATCTAATCCCCTTAAAACATGAGTGCAACTGGGTACCAAGTGCATTAATGCACATCTATGACCCGTTGGGGGCTCCTGCCCAACATGTAAGGAAATGAGTGCCCAACCCTGTGAATCACATCTGATATATCATCATATTTGATGTCTTCCACACAAAATAAAAAGGCTCAGCATGGGAACGAATGACTTCCAGTGGAAGTTGCAGGTTGATTCTAATAGAATCTAATAGTCACGTATTGATCAACCCGCGGCTAATCGTCTGAAGCTGCGGCCTATTGATTGTTGAGTATCTGGCGTTATGTTCTCTAGCCAGATATCTACCGGCCATAGCAGCTGCATGACGTTGTGCTTGAGTTGCTGCTTCAAAGGCTTCACATGGCACGACATAGAATCACACAAATCCATCACTGCTGGTCTTCATCACTGAAATTCTAGTTCAACACACAAGAGTTGTCTCTCTCAAAGTTATTTTCATTTTCAAAAAATAAAAGATAATTTTGTGTCACCAGCTACGATGATAAATGAGCTCCGTGCACGTTTGGGTATTAAAATGACAAAATCTGTATTTATTTTCAGAATCCACTGGTCATGTAGGCGTACGTCGGTTTCACTTTGGTCTCCACGTGCATGAAGAAATTCTTTTTTTTATATATATATATATATATACACACAACAAGCACAACAGAGTAGAAAAGATGTAGAATAAATATGAAATGGAACGGGCCAATGTTATAATGGTAGCAGAGGTTTGGAACCATCAGGACGCTTCCTAGAGAGATGGGGAGGGAAGGGCCGTAGTAAGGGAGGTGTCCAGACACCCGACGGTCACTGACAGAACTCCGGCGTTGCTCTGGGAAGAGACGAGACCCTTCCAGAAGGACAAGCGTCCCTGCAGCGTCCACAAATCCAGCTTGTATGCAAAGAAGAACGGGAGAAACTGGCCAGAAACTAGTGACAAAGATACTTCAATAAAGTGTTATAAAAAAGTCTTCACAGCCTTTATTTTCTTATTTTTAATAATTTTGAAAAACCTTTTGATCAAGCTTTTCCCCCCATTGTCATTATGGGATGTTGTGTTTAGAATTGAGGAAAGAAATGAATTGAATCCATTCTGGAATCAGGCTGTAACAGAACAACATTTAGAAAAGGCGCTGTGAATACTTTCCGGATGCACTCGTGTAACATTAACAACCATTGAGGCGACACATTCTTGAAAATATTTAAATTCTTTGGTATTTAATTGAATCATTTGGCAGCAGGTCCCAGGCCGGTGGTTGGGAGTCTCCTTGCTGCTCTAATAAAACATTCAGCTGAAGCCCGACATCGGAGTTTGCAAACATGCATTAATGCACACGGCAACATTTAAACCCTAAAGGCCGGCGCGTGCTTCTGCGTCTGTGTCTTTACGCACCGTCGCGTCAACGCACTCGTTTCACTTCCTGGTTCTAAAAGTCTTGCGTGTGTTGCAGAGCAATTCACCTGTAGAACAACAGGTGGAGTAACGGCTCGTAGAAGTGGTCATATTTACGCATATTTTTCCCGACAAAAGTTCTTCAATCTGATTCATTCTCCCGTAAACATTCTTGCTTTTAATAATGGCGGTATTGTGCTATGAAAGCGGAAATGTGAGACTCTGTAAAGGATGTAGTTGGCAGACCAATCGCAGCCTTGTGTGCTGCGGGAGACCCAGTCGAAATCAACATAACCCTAAAAAAAATGCATAAACTAGGTTTCATTTAATTTCCCCCTGAAATAAACCTCAAGAGACACCCGCTGTTAAGGACAGCGCCACTCCCTCGGCTCCGCCTCCATCTCCACTTTAAGCTGCTGATTCGTCAAACACAGCTGAATGCCAAAGACGGGCATGTGGGCAGATCAATAAGTGAGTGAGGAAGGGGCGTGCGCTTCTTGTTGTTATTCAAGGGTGTGGCACGCCGCCTCCCTCTTGTGTGTGTGTGTGTGTGTGTGTGTGTGTGTGTGTGTGTGTGTGTGTGTGTGTGTGTGTGTGTGTGTGTGTGTGTGTGTGTGTGTGTGTGTGTGTGTGTGTGTGTGTGTGTGTGTGTGTGTGTGTGTGTGTGTGTGTGTGTGTTGCTCTGCTCCCTCCTCTAATGTCCACACGAGGGCGACGTCTCTCCGCTAAGTTGACAGAGACGGATCCCTCCCACGCTTCTAGAGGTCACAGCTGTGTATATATTTAGATGTTTAGATGTTTAAAATGACCATGAGGTGAAGATATTTATCAAGTTTAAGGTGTTTATGGTGTATATATATATATATATATATATAATGTGTTTAAATGACATCAGCCTTCCATATATGAATGAAAGGCACACTGTGCTTTGAGCAGGTGACGTTTGGCTGGTTGGCTTATATCTGCCTACATTGCCCTTTTCAAAATAAAGCTAATTGTGTTGATAAAAATTAGACTATTGGCCCTGCGGGCATCTTCACATGCAGGTGAACGCGTGTTTCTGGAGCCGGTGTTTTATTAGTCTGACTTTCCTCAGGGGACCATGAACTAAACTCACGGTCTCCGGTGTGTCCTAACGTGTCTTCCTGTCTTCTTCTCTCTCCGTCCTCCAGGTGCTGGATGGTCTGTTGGCTCAGTGTGGAACCGTAGAGAACTGTGAACAAGGTGAGCCTGGGGGCTTCTCTGGGGGCCACATTCTCTCAGAACGAGCAACCGCACACGCGAGGAAGGGCCCCTTCTTTCTAAATGGTCTCGTTGTGGTTTTTATGCCTAAGTGGTTTTCTGTTGCGGTGAAGAAGAAGTCTGTTAAATATAAACGTAATGATAATTATTAAAAAGGGAAAATCTACTCTGTGAAGGAGCTGAGATGAACTGAAGGAAGAAAAATCTGTTGCCTTTCCACTTGTCTCCACATGAATTGGCTAAATCATTTCTCAAGTGATGGATTCATTGTTCTGTGCGCTTCAAATTAAAATTATTAAAATGAATTATTGGCGAATGAAATACATAAGAAAATATAATTAACCATAAAAACAAGCATTGCTAAAATTCAGAAACATGAATGTTGAAAAAACGAAATAAAAAGATACTTTAACAATATCTTTGTTTTTTCCCTCTATTTAGCATTTTTATTTCAATGGTTCACATTTGTTGGTCAGTAAGCCAAGAATTCATCCCGCTACTCTGAAATGTTTGTCTTTACCTTTTATGGTAAACGTGAACACCTCAAAGTAACTGCATTGATTGCAAAAGAAATTCTTCTTCTTTGTTAAATTCTTTTTAACAATGAAAATGTGATGAGTCAGGCTTGTTTGTTGTGTTTTAGCTGGAGTTTGAGTCGATGTTTCTCCAGCCGTCCTTCATGCTGTCTCTCTCTCTCCTGTCTGTCTGTCTGTCTGTCTGTCTGTCTGTCTGTCAGTGAACACCGAGAGTGAGACGGCCGTGGTCAACGTCACGTATGCGTCCAGGGAGCACGCCAGGCAGTGAGTTTCTCTTGTTCTGGACGTCCCGGGGACTCTTCTCTGAGAGCTTTCCATTGTTTATTTATCACCCTATTTATTTCATTCTGCTCCCCGGGCAAAATGTAAGAAAGCCACGGGTTAAAAATGTAATGTAAGTCGCTTTGGATGAAAGCGTCAGCTAAATGATCTGTAATGTAAGACTGAGGAACAAAAAAAGGCAATAGTTCTTTAACAAATTGCCTCCACTTGAGCTGTTGGGCGATTTGTGTGTTCTGTGCTCCACTTGTGACACCTAGTGGCCCTTTGAAGGAACGACACCGTGAAACACACAGTGTGTGTGCAACTACCACACTATGGAAACACTTTAACACAGTCAGTCACATTTAGCAGCCAGATAAGGTGACGTTTGTTGGGAAAATTAGCCTCCGTATTATAAAAGTCCTCGTTCGATCCCACCACTTTGTTTTTGACTTTTTGTGTTTTTAAATATTGCATAGTTCAGATAACAAAAAAAGTGCAGCAGTGACTCCCGTCCGGTTTCTCTTTGCAGTCAACACATAAAATGCTAAAAGCAGTGACACTGACACAATGTCACAATGTCAGTGAGGAAGAACTTGTAGATAATAAAGAGGAATGTGAAAGCAAACAGAAATCTGGTTTGAATTGAAGTCCAACATCAGTTGATGCTGCGATGTGATGCTGTAACATCTCTGTTAGCTCGACGCTAATCACCATCCCAGCTGTTAGCGTGGCTCTGCTTACAGACCCATAACGCTGTGTGTCTCCCTCAGAGCCATCCAGAAGCTCAACGGCTACCAGTTCGAGAACAACGCCCTGCGCGTCTCCTACATCCCCGACGAGAACTCCGAGGCAGAGGGGGGCCAGCGGGGGCCCGACAACGGGCGGCGCGGCTACGGGCCCCGCGGCGGGCCCCGCGGCGGCTCACCGAACTCCGGTATGCCCCCCAAGCCGCCGCACGCCGACATCCCCCTGCGGCTGCTGGTGCCCACGCAGTACGTCGGCGCCATCATCGGCAAGGAGGGGGCCACCATCCGCAACATCACCAAGCAGACGCAGAGCAAGTGGGTGAAGCCCGCCGTCTTTTCAAAATAAGAGCTCCATCAGTCTCTGTGAGAAGCTGTGTCACTTTCCAACAAACCCCCCCCCCCAACCCCCCATGCTAACAGCCAAATGGCTTCCGCAGATGAGCACTGAGCAGAGCTGATATTCATAGTATCTATAAGTAATAATGATCCTAATGAAACCGTAATCCTAGTGTATTATAGTGCGCATTGGACTCGAGCTTTGGGCTGAACCTGGTGACTCAACAAACTGCTCCCGGTCTCTCCCTCAGAATCGACGTGCACCGCAAGGAGAATGCAGGCGCCGCAGAGAAGCCCATCAGCATCCACTCCACCCCCGAGGGCTGCTCGTCGGCCTGCCGCATGATCCTGGACATCATGCAGCAGGAGGCCAAGGACACCAAGACGTATGTGCTCATCGAGGAGAAAAAGCCAGCAGACCGTTAAAACCTTTTCTAAAAAAAGAACCAGATAGAAATTGTTCCGTCTGAACTCAAACTAAATCTGGTTTGAATTGAAATCCAACAAATGGTTGGACATTGAAGCCTCATTTGACATTTTTGTCAGTCTGAAGTAACTTCTGTTCTTTCTTATTGATCGTGTTGCTTTACAGATTCTGAGAAGACACATCCGGTCCAATGTGTTTCATTCAGACACACAGCAACATGTAGTGCATATTCTGATGAAGGCTCTGTGAGCTGAGAGGTGGGTAAGGTCTTCCCCTCTAATGGCTGGCGTTTTTTTTTCCCTTCGCAGTGCTGATGAGGTTCCTCTAAAGATTCTGGCTCACAACAACTTTGTGGGACGCCTGATTGGGAAGGAGGGACGCAACCTGAAGAAAGTGGAGCAGGACACGGACACCAAGATCACCATCTCCCCGTGAGTCCCGCCCCCTCAAATGCAGATTGGTGGAATTTGTCGACCCCTGTTTTTTCGTTTTTTACCGAATAGTGATATTTAACAAGGGACTACAGAAACCTTTTAAGGATGGAAAGAAATGTCTACAACAGTTACTGCCCCCCCTTCAAAGCAACAGGTCACATTGAAATAACGTGTAACGGGTTCAGTCTTCAGGACCTGACGCTGTACAACCCAGAGAGGACCATCACAGTCAAAGGCTCGTTGGAAAACTGCTCCAACGCCGAGGTGGAGGTCATGAAGAAGGTCAGAGAGGCCTACGAGAACGACATCGCCGCAATGAATGTGAGTCTGCACGCTTCAATATGGCGTGTTTATGGTCTGATAGTGAGCGCCGACGGGCTGCAGCTCAGACTCTAACCTGCAGTCTCCTTCTCTTCAGCAACAGACCCACCTGATCCCCGGCTTAAACCTCGGTGCTCTGGGCCTCTTCCCCTCCTCCTCCAACATGCCTCCTCCGCCGCCTGGAAACGCCTCCGGTAGCGCCCCCTACGGCTGCTTCGGGGTAAGAACGGCTGCTCTCTAAAGTCCCCCCGAGGGACGGCGAACCGCCTTCTTTAGTTCTAAGAGAAATATGACAAACTGATCCTGGCCAGTATTCTTAGTGCAGCACAATATTAGTTTAGATATGGGTGCCAGTTTGGACGCTTCCCTGAAGAGAATCCCGATAGACAGTATGTGTAAATGTATTATATATATATACATATAAAGTCATCCACTTTATAAGGTGCGTGTAGATGTGTGCGCGTGTTTACAGAAACAGTCCGTAATGTCTTCTGTAATTTGTGTTTTCAGGCTCCAGAGCAGGAAACGGTCCACGTTTACATTCCAGCACAGGCCGTGGGCGCCATCATCGGCAAGAAAGGGCAGCACATCAAACAGCTGAGCCGCTTTGCCGGGGCTTCCATCAAGGTCGGTGACACGACGACACACATCGATGTACCTCATAACAAAGACCCTCACGTTTTGTTTTTTAAAGACGACACTGGTTGAAATGTGAAAGAAGCGGGCGGACCGGAGGCTGGAGGGGAACCTGCAGCCTCTCTGCTTCGGAGCTTGTAGGGAGTCAGGAGGTGCTAATCACCAATGGGTTTCTCCTCCAGATCGCCCCAGCTGAAGCTCCCGACTGTAAAATGAGGATGGTGGTTGTGACAGGACCCCCAGAGGCTCAGTTTAAGGTAAACACAAACCAGACTTTCCCAGCTGGTCGTACATACATTTATTTAGAATGTTTGTTGGTGTTCATCGACATCCAAAAGCCTTGCTAACCTGGGCGCCTGCCTCCTGCAGGCTCAGGGCAGAATCTACGGCAAGCTGAAGGAGGAGAACTTCTTTGGCCCGAAGGAGGAAGTAAAACTGGAGACTCACATCAAGATGGCCGCCGCAGCTGCGGGAAGGGTCATTGGCAAGGGGGGGAAGACGGTAAGCCACTCACATCTCCCGCTTCTGTCCCCTCTTGCGCCTAAATGCACCGTGTTGCACGATGAAAATGCCAACGATCCGCCGTACAGTGTTGCTCCCTCCTAAAGAAAAACAAACCTGTCTTCAGGTGAACGAGCTTCAGAACCTGACAGCGGCCGAGGTGGTGGTCCCCAGGGAGCAGACGCCCGACGAAAACGACCAGGTCATTGTGAAGATCAATGGACATTTCTACGCCAGCCAGGTACTGCTTCCACCCATTACGCTTGAGCTATAATACTCAACCGCCATTGGGAAGATAACATTAACTTAACATTCCCTTCCCTACAAAGTTATTGTCAAACCCTCCCAGGCGGTGAAGGTTCATCAGTGGCACGTTGCACGTGAAATACTGCAGCCAGTTGCTAAAACATCAGATACAACTCAGTGTCAAACAGATGGTTTATCAGCGTAAGATGCTGTGTGGTTACCGTCCGAAGCTCGGCTCGTCTGATCTACACCCGATGATGGAGATATCTGTCTCTCCAGCTGCTAAATGCTGCATGAAGTCCACCAGCTCCTCACCGTCTTTGTGTATTCACTTCCAAGCCTAGCATTTCACTTTGTCATCCGTCCTCTGTCCTGCAGTTGGCTCAGAGGAAGATCCGTGACATCCTGACCCAAGTGAAGCAGCCACAGAAAGGCGGCTCGGGCCCCGGCTCGGGCCCCGGCCCAAACCCCCAGGGCTTCACAGAGATGGGCAGCCCCACGCAGGGACTGACTCAGGACCACCAGCCACGCAGGAAGTGAGGGTCCCCCACCACCCTCAACACGTGCTGTGGGACCCCCCCCACGGCCGGACGGAGAGACACAAAGACAGACAGACACACGGAAAGACGGACAGACACAGACAGACAAAACAGACAGACAGAGGGATGCAGGAGAGCGACACACGATACAGCGATAGACAGACAGACATCGAGGGAGGGAGGGAGGGAGGGAGGGCGCCCGAGAGAAAGACGGGGATTAAAATCAAAAGATGAAATGAATAAAATTAAAAATAAAAAAAAGTAAGAAAACGTGAGAACAGACGCCAGATGCCAGGCCAGAAAGAGGCTGAGTGAGGATGGGGGGAGGAAGTAAGGGGGGGTGGGGAGAGGCGTCCTCCTAGCGAGTCTCCGCAGGGCTGCTCGCCCGCTGCAGGTTCAACACCCGTCCACGAGACACGCTAGCCAGGCTGTTCGTCCCTCCGTCCCCCCGACAGGCCTCTCCCGCCATCTGCACTCAGTCCTATATTTTAAAGGTGTTTTCTTTTTTTTTTTAACATAGAGATATATGTATAGAAATGTTTTATTCAGAGCTATTATTGATAGAATGCAGTGAAGCAGAGCCGGGAGAGGGAGTGGGGAAACGGACCGCGGCGGCACAGGGGGTGAGGGGTGGCGCCCCCATCCCCCCTTAACCTGCCCCCTTAACCTGCCCAGCCAATAAAAGTCTAGAAAGAGGGGCCGCAGATGTTAACACTGCTCTTTTGGAAAAAAAAAAGAAAAAAAGGAACTCTTCCGAATAGCGGAGCGTTTGTAAGAAGAAAATATGAGGTTGTAAATATAATCTTCATGTGGATGAAGTGCTGCGTCTGGCCGCCTTGCCTTTTTTAAAGAGTAATTCAAAGAGGAAAAAGAAGGGGGTCTTCTTTTCATTTCCCAGTGCTTCGTCTATGACATGTAGCATAATGTAGCCTACAACAGGGCTCTGGGCGGGGGAGGCACTGAGGCCCCCTCCCCACTATTCGCCGTGTGGTGGGAGGCGCAGCAGGAGACAGTAAGGGGAGCGGCGGTCGCAGCTGGTCCTGCAGTTCTAATGCAGCGGCCCAGCTCACACACACGAGACGCAGCCGGCGCTACGCTAGCTGGGTATCGGCCCCGCACCTCAAACGGCATATTTTATATATATTATATATATATGATATGTGAGTTAGCCCGGCCCCTCGGGTGAATGTATCAAAGGCAGCGAGTCGGGTGTGAGGTTTTCCCGCCCCGTACCAATACGTTGTGCAGTGACGGACAGATGGACAAGGCGCGTCTCGAGACTCCGCCCATTGCCTTCTCCCGGCGCTGGACACTCCAGGTCGGTTCTCAGACAGGATGGCGTTCTCCTCAGAGGAGCTGGGGGTCCTTGAGACCATCCCTGTATTAGAAGGTGACTTTGTTGAGACCGGCCTCGGTTCAGCGCAGGACCCAAAAGGCGGGTTTTCCAGCTCCTTGCCTTAAGCTCAAGGTAAAATCAGACCGAACTGGGGAGGGGGGGCGGCTTCCTCATTCTCTCTCCCAATCTGCCAAAGGCCTGTGGGTGGAGCTTCCAGACCCTGCCCCTATATGATAATGAGGGGCGGGGTCTTCGCCTGGATGCTCTCACCCAAGATTAGAACAGATTAGAGAAATAAATGAAAAAGAAAAAAACTACCTCAGGGTAAAGTTACCTCAGTATTCCTTACTTTTTTTTGCTTGCTGGTGTTTTATACGAGATAAAACGAGAGCTGAATATTGTTTATTTTTTTAAAAGAAAAGTATTTTTTTTTAGATCTTGTGTTGTTTCTTTGGTTATATTTTTTCTGTTTTTTTTTCTTTTTTGGCGTGTGAGATGATGGGTGAATGTGCTCAGGATGACGAGGCTGCGTGTTTTTCTCAGATATTGATAAACTGCTGGTCTACAGAGGAAATGGATCAAGGACCATTTTGCCTTTTTGAAAACGTTTTTTCTCGTAAATTGAGGAAAACATGCTCTCTGTCTTCCTGAGGTGTGATTGGAGCAGCTGAAGTATTGGCCGAAGGGGGGGTGGTGCAGCTAGACGGGGGGGGTTACCCGTGGCTCACGTCATCAGCGAGGATGTGACACTCTTCCTCAGGGGTCGTCCCATTGTGTCAGGACCTCCTTCACCCGCCTCATTGTAATGACATCATCACCAAGCGCCAGACATTACGAGAGGGCTCCAAGCGTTCAGGACGTTGAGGTTTCTCGCCCTCAACGAAGACATGAGAGAGCTAGCTTTAAAAGGCCCATTTCTTTTACCCCCTGTTGTGGAACTCATTAGATCAGAGAGGTCCATCTGCAGCGTGAAGCCATTCCCCACACACACACACACACACACACACACACACACGCCCACACAAGCGCCAACACACCGCTGAACTAGCTCTGACTTCTCTGAATGTGAATATTTATTACCTGTGCACTGACCGCGACACCATAGATGCTCTCTGGTGTGTGTGTGCGCGTGTGAGTGAGCGTGTGTGTGTGTGTGTGCGTGCATGTGTCCGGTTTTAAATGTTCATTTCTGTCAGGGGACGTTGTTTGGGTGAGACTTTAGCAGGAAAAAAAAAAGCAGAAAAAAGTTGGACGAGAACCTATGGGGCCCTCCGTCTGTATTACAACTGACTGTGGACCTTTTTGAAGTCGATAAAAAAAGGAAAGGCAAGAGTTTAAAACAACATGAACACACCTGTGAAATAGATTCAAACCTGTATATAAGATTTTAAAAAAGCAATCGCGATACTTTTGTATTTTTTGAGTAAAAAAACGCTAAAAGGAATCCGAATGGGAGGAGGCGTAGAGTGAGGACTGCCGAAGCTGCCGAAGGACACTGCCAGATAACAATCTTCTCAACGTCCCATCACCTCCGCCCGGCGACCTCCACCTTCAGCCTCCACCGGCTCACCCCAAAACAGGGGAAGGTCTATTCCATTGTGTCTATGCCTCCATCTTTGAGAGAGGCGGGTAAACCTTGCAGTGTGACGCGGGTCGCCCATAGAGCTCTGTTCACCACTACCAAGACACCCAATTTATGATTTGACAATTCTATTCAGCCCAGCGCCATTTTGGATCAGTTAGCATTCTTTTTATTTGCTTTTTTTTGGCAATACAGCAAATTTTTTATAGTAGACGTGACATCTGGAGACGTACTGTTGCACGAATTAATGAAATATGTTGACCACGTCGCACTGCGGAAAAACGACTTTGGCAATTCTTTTAAAATGTGTAGAAAGAAGGGGGGGGTTGGGGGTGGGGAAGGGGCGGGGCTTGGACTGAGTTCCGTCTCCCTTTATCTTTGTCCCCCTCCCTCTGTCCTTCTGCAAAACAAAATGATTTATGTCCCCTTACAATTGTGTTGCCCTCTGAACTCCGGGAGAAGAGTGACATTTTTTCTTGTTCTTTTTTATTTAGAAACAAACCTTTTGAAAAATATTTGTTTCATTTATCGGAGTGGGCGGAATCTCCAGGGTCCCTCGCGCTGGTCTCCATCGTGTTTTTTTTAGCCTCACTTCTGTTCAAGACTTTTCCATTTTGATTTTTTATTTACTTTAACCACCGTTTTGTTTTTATTGTTTTAACTATCGAAGTCCTAACACTTTTTGGCAAAAAATAGAAATATTTGATAATTTCTCGTTTTTTTTCTCCAAATGTCTCAAATCTAACAAACCAGCTTCTAAATAGAAAAATCTACAATCACTTAGTTCAGTACTTGACAGTAACTGTTCCCAATGCACGGGAAGGGGATCAGCTCTTAGCAGGCAGATACAGAACCTTGCAGATGGCTGCATTCAGACACACCGTGCTGCCAACAGATCCCCAACAGCAGATGTGCATTATTTCTGGCGCCAAAGGTCAACCCTCTCTCCTTTTTCATTTTCATGCAAGTTGAGTCGGGCACCTGTCTGCTAAGCCTTGTCCCAGCTGATTCTAACGTATCAATATGTGACAAATAAACATTCAAGTATCAAACGTATTGATTTTGTTGTATCCAGCGTATTCTAAGACTGCCGAAAGGATCGTACCCGTGCATGTTTTATCCCATTTACTGTAGACTGTAAGCCACCCCGCTGAAAACCCTCCCCAGCTGAACGTGGCCATACGATGTGTGGGCCTCTCCACCAGAAAAAACAGGCTTTAAGATGCTAAAATGCTTCTCTGAGTTGAGGGGGAAGAATTCTCTATGGGGACGCTGCGTATTCCGCATCAGCACTGTCAACGGTGTGCAGCAAATGGGCGGAAATCAAGTGGCGTCGTCCTTTTTAGTTAAAAAAAACGTGGGCGATACGGACAGACCGCTGCTGTGGTGCTCAAGCAGTACAAACTTCTCTTTGTCTTGTCCCCCCGTCCCAAACGGAGACCCAGGGGAGGGACACGCCGACGAAACAGACCGGACACATAACTGGGAACGCTACCTCAAATCCTAAGTCAGAAATGCAGACAGAAAGCACGAACAGTCTATGTGACGTTATCTTCGTCACCCTTCAACTTCTATTTAAGTTTTATTTTTAAATTGCCTCTTTCAAGCTTTCGAGGTGGGACTGTAAAAAAAATAAATGACTAAAGACAAAACACTCGTACACATTGTGGGACACTGTGGGCAGCCGGAACAATTTTAATTTTATTGCGTTGTGTGGGACGACAGGAACCTGATTTGTCCATTTCTGGGCTCATCTTCTGAAAGTGAGCGGCGGGTTTTCCAGTTGATTCAGTCACCTGAACCCATTGTTTTTCTTTTTCTTTCTTACCTGCCTCCGATCGCTAACTACACCCACAATCCCTTCAGCTCTGCCCTGCTGCACCCCTCACCTCCCTCCCTGTGATTCACCTCCTGAATCAAGGGCCACGACACCTGTAACCATGTAATTGTTTTGTTGATCTACCTCCTGGGAAGAAAATAGGGCTTTTTTTGGGGGGAAAAATGACACGCAAATGTCAAACAAAAAAAGTTGCTCAAAAGAAATATAGCTAAATGAATAACTGGGTAGCAGCATCTCCATATACTGTAGTGGATAGTCTATTAAAGGAAAACAAACTTACTTCTTCCAAAGAATCTTTTCTTTCTTCTTAGTTGTTTATCAATTATGAAATAATAGTATTTTGGTTTTTTTTGGTTTTTAATTAAAAAAAAAGAATCATTTTTCTCCAATTTGCATTTTCTTTTGTCAATTTCGTTTGCAAACCCTTTAACTTCAAGATATTTTTTATTGACTTTTGATGTTTTTTTTCTCTTTGACAGCATTTTCTCTTTTTCTTTGACAGCAGATTGTATCTCTTGTTTTCGGGTGCATTTGGTGTTTTCTTTCTCTCTGTATAAACCTACATGAGTTATAGCGCCCTGCGAGGACCTTCTACACAGATCCATCTTTTCTAATGAGTTGTTTTAAAAAGGATTTTCTCTGGCCGGGTAGCTGCGGGGGGGAGGGGCCTCGTTCCTCACCGTGCCGCTGACCTCCGACTCCCCCACTGACATGGAGTGCGTGCGGCCGCGAGGAGATGCGGGGTCCCTCCCTTCGCCGGGGCGAATCCGGTCTTTACAGTATATGGACTCTCACCCTCTGCCTGCCTGATTCCTTTAGTCCTCATCAACACTTGTTTTAAACTCCCTGTAAACAAAACAGAGCATAGATATGAATGTGTTATTAAAAGATGAGAAAACGGATCCGTTTGCTGCCTCCTGGTTTTTGTGTGTATCGGATTCTCTACGCATCATCGCTTCAGCTTGAATTTATACAATTCAATAGATTCATTTCATTTTTTCCCTTTTGAATAGGAAAAGAATTGGTACTCCTAGGTTTGTAGAATTTTTACTTTTGAATCAGTTTAATAATTTATCATTTTTATATGTCTCTTCGGACCGGATCATCCAGAGCAACGGCCATTTCTGTTTTGCCTTTAACTCTGCTGCAGCGTTAACCTCCACATATCGCAGACGGGGCCGCTAGAGACGGCCTTTGCCAGAACCCTGCTGGCAGCACGAAAGCATGTTTCTACCTCCAGTTTAAGACGGAGAGCTGTAACTCCATCTTGCTGCTCCGGCCGCTTTCTGCAACCTGCAGCTGCCGCCTCCATGTGAGGAATTCTGGCAATCAGCGGCTGCTAAAAAAGACGTAACCTCCAGCCTCTGGAAGCAGCTTGCAGCTGCCGCCTCCGGCTGTGGATTCTTGCAGACCGCTTTAGCGCAAACATTCACCTTCATCTATTGACTCTGCCGCCTCCACTAATAGCTAAAATACCTTCACATTTGGCCTCTGCAAGAAACCCACTGTAGCCGCCTGCGTCTGCAGCTAAAAAAATGACCAGTGACCCGCAGGATTCAGGAATACTGCTGCTGTTTGCAAAGTCCAGACTGTAGAGTAGAAACGCTACAGTCAGTAGTCTTGGATGAATTCAAAATTTGATTAGTAGACTTGATTTACTTTTGACATTTACAGAGATCAGAATACAATATTCTGTCTCAGATTTGATTTCTTTTAAACTATTGTTGGAAAAACTGCAATAATGTTTCACCTTAGTGTTACTTATACAAAATTCAGTTTGTGCTCGTTCACTCAGAGGCACAATGTGTTCTGGTTCCTCTGATAATCAAGATGTTTTTGCGTTTATAATCTCCAAAGATGACCGTCTTTAGCCCAGAGCATGTTTATCTTCCTTCAATATATTTCCACTCTGAAGAAGATCTTTGAGTAGCCTTGACACAACACTGTATGTTGTCAATTCTGTCTCCATGCTTAAGATAAGATAACTTAAGATAACTGTCTTTAGTCTGGTTTAGAAAACAAGCCGATGACGCGGAATGGAACATCGCTCTGGTGTTTATTAGAAGCATATTCACATGCTTCTGTGAAACATTGATGAACAGTGTTTCTCTAACCAGTCAGCAAAGCTCCATGCAAGCATTTAATAAATCTCCGGTTTAATGATTTTACACCACTGGCAAGTAAGAATTTTTCTAACAACTATGATCATGATCCTTTCCTGACCAAGTAATGTATTTGCTTAACCAAAAGCATCTCATTATCTTAGTTTAGTTACCGTATCAATAAGTTATAAATAGTTCATAAAAAGTACTAATTTAACATTAGACATAGGATGGCAGAATCGTAAATATGATTGTCTGCTGATGTTGGTTTAATATTTTTGAGAGAATCTTATTTAGGTCTGCGCTGGGCTGGAGAGTCCACACTAGTCATAACACAATTCATGGCATTATCAATCAACTACATACAGTGCATCTGGAAAGTATTCACAGCGCTTCACTTTTTCCACATTGTTATGTTACAGCCTTATTCCAAAATGGATTAAATTCATTATTTCCCTCAACATTCTACACACAACAACAACCCATAATGACAAAGTGAAAACTGTTTTTTGCAAATCTGTTAAAAATAAAGAATGAAAACATAACACGTACATAAGTATTCACAGCCTTTGCTCAATACTTTGTTGAAGCACCTTTGGCAGCAATTACAGCCTCAAGTCTTCTTGGGTATGATTCCACAAGCGTGGCACACCTATTTCTGGGCAGTTCCTCCCATTCGTCTTTGTAGAACCTCTCAAGTTCCATCAGGTTGGATGGGGAGCGTCGGTGCACAACCATTTTCAGATCTCTCCAGAGATGTTCAATCGGGTTCAAGTCAGGGCTCTGGCTGGGCCACTCAAGGACATTCACACACAGACATTCAGAGTTGTCCCGAAGCTACTCCTTTGTTATCTTGGCTGTGTGCTTCGGGTCGTTGTCCTGTTGGAAGATGAACCGTCGCCCCAGTCTGAGGTCCAGAGCGTTGGAGCATGTTTTCATCGAGGATGTCTTTGTACATTGCTGCATTCATCTTTCCCTCAATCCTGACTAGTCTCTCAGTTCCTCCCGCTGAAAAACATTCCCACAGCATTATGCTGCCTCCACCATGCTTCACTGTAGGGATGGTATTGGCCAGGTGATGAGCAGTGCCTGGTTTCCTCCAGACATGACACTTGGCATTTAGGCCAAAGAGTTCAATCTTTGTTTCATCAGACCAGAGAATGTTGTTTCTCATGGTCGGAGAGTCCTTCAGGCGGGCTGTCATGTGCTTTTTACTGAGGAGTGGCTTCCGTCTGGCCACTCTACCAAACAGGCCTGATTTGTGGAGTGCTGCAGAGATGGTTGTCCTTCTGGAAGGTTCTTCTCTCTTCATAGAACAACGGCGGAGCTCTGTCAGAGTGAGCATCGGGTTCCTGGTCACCTCCCTGACTAAGGCCCTTCTCCCCCGATCGCTCAGTCTGGCTGGGCGGCCAACTCTGGGAAGAGTCCTGGTGGTTCCAAACTTCTTCCATTTCCGCATAATGGAGGCCACTGTGCTCATTGGGACATTCAATGCTGCAGAAATCGTTCTGTACCCTTCGCCACATCTGTGCCTCGATACAATTCTGTCTCGGAGGTCTACAGATAATTCCTTGGACTTCATGGCTTGGTTTATGCTCTGATATGCACTGTCAACTGTGATACCTTATATAAACAGGTGTGTGCCCTTCTCAGTCATGTCCAATCAACTGAATTTAGCACAGGTGGACTCCAATCAAGTTGTAGAAACATCTCAAGGATGATCAGTGGAAACAGGAGGCACCTGAGCTACATTGTGAGTGTCATGGCAAAGGCTGTGAATACTTATGTACATGTTATGTTTTTTGTTTGTTTTTTGTTTATTTTTAACAGATTTGCAAAAATTTGCAAAACACAGTTTTCACTTTGTCATTATGGGTTGTCGTGTGTAGAATGTTGAGCAAAATAATTAATTTAATCCATTTTGGAATAAGGCTGTAACATAACAAAATGTGGAAAAAGTGAAGCGCTGTGAATACTTTCCGGATGCACTGTATATGGGTCAACTACATTGGGTATCAATAGAAAATTGTATTAATATGGGTCAATTACACAGGTCACAATTTACATTCAGTATAAACGTTAAGTGCCGATAGATAAAGGATGGTGACATTTATGGAGTGATTGGTAAAGCAACGGACAGGAGGTTTGGTGAATGGAAATGTAAAGACATTTATGGAGCGCTATCGTCCAAAGCACTTTGTCGAACTCACACACGCAATGATGGCATCAAGATCGCATTGATGGCTTTGATACTGGGAGCATAATTGAATGACTAGTATTTACCATGGTTATGTCTTGTAATATCATAATGACATAAAAAGATAATAACAGCCCAAACAGAAAAAATACACATTTAAGAATACAGCTTCTGTTCGCTGAACATAACTGGAAAGTAGACTGCAAAAGCAAGGCAGTTTTATTTCTATAGCACATTTAAACAACAAGGTAATTCAAAGTGCTTCACATAAAACCATTAAAAACATCCAAACATGAAGCAGGGATATTTACAAACAGTTAAGAACATTGATTGAAACATAAAACAAAAATCATCAAAAAGGACAAAATAGACGATAAAAAATTTGCAGTGTAATTGCAGAAATGAAAAATTAAAGGCAGCAAACAGAAAAGTCTTTAATCAGGATTTAAAGGAGCTGACGGACTCCGCAGATCTGCAGCTTTCTGGGGCTTTGTTTCAGATATGTGGATGCAGAAAACCTGAACGCTGCTTCTCCATGTTTAGTTTTGAAAGTAGACCAGTCCCAGATGACCTAAGAGTTCGTAGCGGTTTATAAGGTATCAGAAATGTTCTTTGGTCTAAACCATTCAGTGCTTTATGAACCAACAGAAGGACTTTGAAGTTGATTCTTTGTTTGACAGGAAGCCAGTGTAAAGACCTGACAACTGGAGTGATGTGATCCACTTTCCTGGTCCTATTGAGAACTCGAGCTGCAGCGTTCTGGATCAGCTGTAGCTTTCTGATTGACTTTTTACAGAGACATGTAAAAACACTGTAGTCGAGTCTACTAAATAAATGCATGGAGAAGTTTTTCCAAATCTGGTTGAGACATAAGTCCTCTAATCCTTGATATATTGTTTAGGTGACAGTAGGCTGATTTGGTAACTGTCTTGATATGACTGTTCAGGTTGAGGTCTGAAACCGTAACTCGGACCTCAACTGTTTTCCATAATCTGAGCCAATAGAAGCATGTAGATGTTGAATAGAACCGGCCCCACTATTGAACCTTGGGGAACACCACATGTAATTTTCTTTCTTTACATCAGATGTTGTATAATGTCATCTATGACTGTATGGTTAAATTAATTTGTGTCATGGTGTTTGAACAGAGGTTTGCAGTGGGGTTGCCATTAGCAGATGTGTGTTATTCAACATTTGTTATCACTTTTATAGTAGATAATTCACACGGAATACTGTTAACCGATTTCTGAACAAGTACTTCTTACTGAAGCAGAGCACACAACGTAAAACTGCCATTGCACCGCCATATTCCCTTTATTGGGGATGCCAACAGTAAACTATGAATGGGCAGATACCACCAGAGAAAAGTAAGAACATAATAATCTTAAAATAATCTTTTCATCTCCTGGCATCTTCCCCTCTTTCACACAACTGTACTAATAAAGTATAACTCTGAAAATCAACACTTTATTTTATTCAACAACAATACAAGTTGTAAACAATTATAAAATACATATTCTCTAATGTAATGGTAGACTTAACTCAGTATAGACAGCCTTGAAGTGGAAGTGTGTTTGTGTGTGGCCATAACATTTATATTTTTTTAATTAGAAAATGTGTTTTCATTCTGATATGTTTGTTATGAGTGCATTAGTGTCTCTGTTCCTCCCCAGTCTTGTCCTTGGAAATAGGAAATTCCAGTGATGTCCTGAATCGAACAGGCACCTCCTGCTCCTCACCGCTTGGCCGCTTGGCCACAGGGGCGTGGATACGTAGTTGGCCGTTTTCCATCAGGGAACAGGAAAGACCCGCCAGATCCAGGTGAGGGGGAAGGTCAATACTCTGGACAAATCCCATCCGAGACGAGGCCGAGGAGCGGAAGGAGGCATTGGAGGAAGAAGAGGCGCAGGACTGGCTTTCTTCTGCTCCAGCCTGCTTCATGGCCGCCACCGCCAGGCTCCGCCCCTCCAGTTTGACAGTGATGTCGTTGGGGGCATAACCACGAGCATCCAGGGTCACGAGGAGGTCATTGCTGTTTGCTGTGGCTATCTGGGCTTCCTTGTGCAGCTCCTTACTGGGAGTCTCCCTCTCTTTAGCTCCACTCAACCTGAAAAAGAAGCAGATCTAGATTCAGCTCGTGGTCCACCGTGTCTCAGGGCGTCCAATGTGGATTGGTTAGGGTTGTTGGTTGGAATCCTGGCTGCTCCATGTCAAAGTGTCCCTAAGCAAGTCACCTAAACCCTAACTGTCCCTGGGTGCCTTTATGGCAGCACACTGCTCCCACTGTGTGGGATGGGTTAAATGCAGAGAATAATTGGCCCAAGTGGATTAATAAAGGATACTTTCTTTCTTTCTTTCTTGATCAGCCCAGTTGAATCAGACTGGTTCGGCAGCACTTTGCTCTACTATCGTTCTTGATTACAGACTAAAAACAACCACATTAAGACCTTTAAGAGGAAGTGGACTTGGACTGGTCAATAATGAAATGTAGTGAGAATGGTTCGTGGTGGGAACGTGATCTGACCTCGGTCCAACCCGACTACAAGGCAAACTCTTTTTTGAGCCAAACAGCTCCTGTTGAAAGGTATTTCTGAAATGCAGGAGTGTGAAATCAACAGCTGTAAATCTGTGCTTTTTGTGACTAATTCAGAAAGAAGAAACAAATTATGGGGCCAATGCCTCATCTGCCCAAACTCTTCCACTGGTTCCAACCAGAGAAAAACACGCTTATACTTGAAAACTCTCTTTAACAAAGCCAATCAGGTGAAACCACATGGTACATACCTCATCAAACTGGAGGAAACAAGAGGAAACTGGCTAAAATTGAGCGAGTGGGGCCTGTCGTGAATCCCCTCCAGAAGGTTGTCGGCCACTTTGGTTCTCTGGTTGAAGAAGTCTTGTTGCAGTGATGAGAGATCCTCGTGACGCAGCGGCCACAGCAACTCCTCCTGGCTGAAGAAAGGGTCATCGCCGAACAAGCCCGTCAAGGCTGCTTGCTGGGACATCATATTGTCCTGGACACAAGTTGGACCTGCAAAGTGTCAGTTGTCTTGTTGCAACTTCCCGCTCTCAGACTTGAAGTCGGTAATCTCCGGGAAAGTGTGATCACTGAGAGCCGGCAGAGTTTTCTTCTCCTTGTTCGTCTTCTATCGGGCAGTTTGGGACATCGCACAGGACTCCCCTCCTTTAAATAGCCCAGCTGTCCCGCTCCCCCCCTTCGACCAGACTATTTTCACCCCATGAGCTCACTGCTGTTTGTTAGCGTGGGCCAGCGAGGTCAGGAATGCCCTGCAACTCATGAAAAGGCTAAAGACAGCTCATGGTCACATCCTGTTTGTGTTATGTTCACACTGCATCGGATTTATTGTGTGTGTGAAAAGCAAAAAGATCATTACCCATTTTTGATGTAGAAATGTCAGAATATCTGGGTTGATGGCAACAAGATGTGATGGTGAAATGTCTTTCGTTGGCTCTTTATTCAACAATTATCTTTTTATTTTCATACAAACTTGGTTGAAGGTTAACTTTACTTCAAGTGAGAAGCAAAACTGTGTGTAAGGAAAATAAAAGTTCAACTCACTGTAGTGACTGAATGGACATTGGTTAGCAAGAAAATTAATGACAGTTTTAAATCATTTTTATCTACAATTTGTTAATAAGGTATTTTCTGTGTGACTAAACAGTTTTTTAAGAAGTGAATTAGTTTTAACATTATTGTAAGTTTATATTGATGTATGCAAAGACTGGTTACTGGTTCTTAAAGTTGGTACAATTTGATCACAATCTATGATGATGCTTGTATATACATTGTTTATGCTTGTTTTATCATCCCACTTTAGGAAAAAGAGAAAGAATAAGCGTTTATCCAACCCCCCCAGCTACAATCCCATTGGATAATGAAACAAAATAACTGACAATTCATTTAATTCCTTAATTTTATCAAATGTTAGTAAAGTATCACAACAGATGGGTAATATTTTGCTGTTTGGGCTCACATGGGCCGAGTTGTTAACAGATGAAGTGAAAACCGAAAGCCCGACTTCAGGAGCTCAGATGACGTCCGAGCGCTATTATTTCCCAGAGTATGTCTGCATGTGTGTGAAGCAAGCGTGCTAACGTTACAAGGAGCTGGCGTCATATATATTTGTGGCTGTCTCGGGGTCAGCTCTGTGAAACTGCTTCATGCCAATGCTCAATTTGTCAACTGGCTCACTCGCAGACCAACAACAGCTGCATCGTTATTTTCTCAGCTTTGCTTTTCCCTGTATGGTAAGACAAATTACATCTATGATTCTGATATGTGGCTTTAATCTCCAAGCATCTAAATAGGGTGTTAACATGTGGTCCTTTGCAGGCTTTGAGTTGCTGTTGTATGAAGATTTACAACTGGATTGATGATCAATGGATCAATACAAAAAAAGAAAAAAGTCTGTCTGTCAATGAACCACGGGAGGCGAGGGACATTTTTATACCAGCCTGCCTCGTCTGGTCATTATTTAAGGTTGTTTGAGAGTATGATGAGTCTATACTGCCATGTCTGCATGGTGAATATGCAGCTCCTTACAATTGCAGGTCTGTTAAAAGTCTCACGTTTCCCATCCAGTATTCATCTGTTTTGTTGACTTTGAGAAAGCTCATGACTATGTGGAGTCCAGTGGGGTGTCGCTACTGCGGGACTGTATGGTATTGGAGCTTTTGGGACAACCTATACAGTCTAAGTGACATATTTGACACTGAGCAGAATAAATATATAAATTGTGATGTCATGAGAGGGTTGGTCATCAAAGGGAGGTACATCCCCACCTGGTGGTCACTGCAGGGATTACAAGAGATGTATGTTGATTTTTTGAAGTGACGTTTTTTTGATTGATTTTGATTAAGTTTACCTTTTTGATTTTGATTAAGTTTACATTTTCATAACATAAGATGAATACAAGACTTTAGAAGCATTGCTTGTCGTCTTTATTTTTTGCACCTATGCCTCACGATTATGATTTCTTGTGACATCACATATACACACGTATATACACACACACACACACACACACACACACACACACACACACACGTATATATACACACACACACACACGGGATGTGCATCTCCATCACTGAGGACGATGCGATACACATCTCGATGCACTGCCAACGATCCGATACATTAAAGATACATAAAAGCAGCTACTAATGAGATACGATACGATTCACCCCTATTGCGATGCAGTGCGATTCGACACGATGCGATTCAACGAGATGCGATGCAAAATAATATAATTCTATGCAATTTAATATGGTACAAAATGATTTATTTATTTGTCAGACAACAAATAATAAAGGTCTCTGACAAAAGATAACATGTATGTGTATATGTGTGTGTGTGTGTGTGTGTG